GGGGGGGCGGGCAATTATAGTTGGATACGCTAATTAACGGTCAGTGGGTGTTCCGCTACTGCGCTCACAGTCGAATTAGCTCGGTGTATTGGCGATGCAAGACTGGAGCCTACTCTGATGAATCCTCATTATAATGCATTTGACGCGCCTGAATCAATCTAGAGCTATAGCAATCGTAATTTTTGAGGCTGAAAACTGTCCAAATTACTGGTCTTCCCTTGGAAGGCGGGCTAGATTGTGATGGCTTCTTCATAATGTGGCCTCTGTGGCTCTCTCATCCACGTGAGATTCAAATTCTCCTCTGAAAGTCCTAATACATGTAGTAAGGGCCACATCTTGCGTGGCAGACATAGATGCGGTATTTAGCTTTGTTAGCCACTGCTCCCGAGCCCATCTTCGGTTGTTTTGACATCGGCTTCTCATCGAAGCCACACAGGGGGAAAGAAAGGGAAGACTACGGAATAGGCTGAACAAATCTACCTAACTATAAATTATTTTGTAGCCCCTCACCTTTGTTTACGCTCACTTTTTGGGGCAAAGTTTGGAGTTTGCCGCTTGCGGCCGTCGAACTGTCGCGTTCGGCCGTCGCTTTCGACGACGGCTTCATATTCCATACCTGAATTTTACCTGCTTCGCATCATACCCACGTAGGTTTTTCATGCCGCCGGATTTTTTCTTTATTTCCTCTTAAAGTGGACTATCAGCGCCATCTCATACCTTCTCGAAACCTTCGGGAACTTTCGAGTCTATCGAAATCTGCGCGAGCCTTGTGTACACGAGGCTGCTGCTGGCGGTGCGGAAGCAGGTGCAGAGGGTGAAGGAACCAGTGAGATCAAGTTGACAGATTCGGCCTCCGGGCTGTCGGACGGCCCAACTGAAATCGCTCCCATCACCAATGCCAGTCTACCGCCTCTGCGCATCTGTCCGCCATTGCCACGCCTCTGTCTGCTCCTTGGACCCTGTACTAGCCAAAAATCCGCCAAGAATCTTACCCAGGAGAGCCAGCAGCCGAAGAATGTCTTCTCGGACTACGACGTCAGCACGCAGTTTGAAACGCATGAGGCGGGTGTGTGGCCTGACTACACCTCCAGTGTATTTATTAGAAATCGCGATATTGAGCAGGAGAGCAAGAAGAACTTCTGTGATGTAAGTCCATCCATATTATTTTGAGTCGTTGGCGATTTTGTACGCTCGTTGATTCGGTTTATTCTAAGAAACTTTTCCTCATACTAAACCTAGAAGCGAATAAATCGTTAAGGATAAAAGAACTCAGTTTTCCTCCTACTGCCCACGATCGGTTAGGATATTACTGATAACTAAGATGATTGGAATAGCTCTCTTCCAGTTTCTACGCCATCGTATGTCATCCACACCACATATCCAGGCAGGGTTTTTGAATCTAGGTTCAGTTGGTCTTTGGATGTACTGGAGACAGTAGATAGACCCGGAATGATTACTTCAGTTCCCCTTTGGGTCGGAATTACTAGAGTGATCCCCATCGATAAGACACGAAAATATGAACCTTCCTCCTTCTCCCGTATTCTATGTGACCTCGAGCCGAACCACAGGGCGGGTAAATATCCCCGTATCTCAACCATAACAATAACCTTAACCCAAACCTTAAGTGTAACCCTATTGTTAACACATCCTACCTTTAACTCTGACCTTAACCTCAAGTTTAAAGTATACTATAACCGTACCTGAAAATTAACTCTAGCCCAAATGTGTTTGCAAATTAGCACAAAATCACCCGTATTACGGGCGATTCATCTTCGCCTGTCCTGCCGCGGGAGCCATATGGCCGTCAGTTTTAAGAACGCTTCTAATTAGGGGATTTTCAACACCGGGAAATATTCATTCATAAAGTATTGCATCTGTTCACAGATTCATGCTTCTTGTAAAACTTTCAACATATTCCTTATCCACTGCAAATTGTGGCAACCCTATGTGACGTCTTTGTAACAGTAGGTAGAATTGTTGATAAAAGAGAAAAGGTGAGTTCTAGAGAGCAGTTCAGAAGGAAAACATGCAATCAGTGAAATAAGATGTTTATTGACCTGGCATTTCGAATTCTCACTCGAACCAATCATTTGCAGTATACTTTTGCAGACGACCGGGAAGCTCATTTAAAAGCGGGCATTCTGACAGGAGAATTATGCTAAACACTAATTAGTGTGATACCCAGGCCTATGTTGTCTTTTCTGATTGAAAACCTTTTTGAATTTTGGTTACAATTTCATGATCTAACATATTTACTATAAGTAAAGCATACCTTTCTTTGTGTTTGTTCGCAATGTTTTTGTGATTACTAGTTGCCCTCTGCTGTGAGGTCGTCTAGACAGTGCTTCAGACAGGAGCTCTACGGCAAAGTGGAAGACTCTTATTCTGTTCTTCACTCCGAATAGCTCTTTTCATACAAAACTAATGTCCTCGGTCTTGAAGATAGGTCAGAACTGAAAATTCCCGCGTCCAGGTCTCTATTGGCAAAGGCTTCTTTATTTTCCTGTCTTTCAGATCTTAGTATATCTTCATCCCTACGAGACGCGCTGGTTGCCACTCCAACTTTTTGCGTTAGAAAACACGTGCCCTTCTGGGGATGCTGGCGTCCATTCATCTCCCACCACTGGTCTTCTCAATGTACTCCACCTTTCCCTACAAACAACCTCTTCCACAAACGATTTTCTTCAGTCAAGGGGTCTTCTACTTGGTCAATTCCTGCAGTGTTTAGGCGTGGAAACCATCAAGGCCAAAGTAGGTCTTTGTTTATGGTTTTTTTCTGTCATAAGTGCTTCTGTTTATGTGTAGTCATCTGCTTAAATTCTTTCTGGTCCTTTTCCTATGATACTGTACCCAAAGCAACAGAAATTCTCACAAGCTGTGGCCCACCTGTTAGTTTTGTTGTGGTTTCCCGGCATGTCCATCGGTTGAGGTTAATGAAATGATCCCCAGCAACGGCTTTTTGATCTGATAAACTAAATTTTGTAGACAAGGTTTGACTATAACCACTGGTCTACGAATCGTTTGTTTTTATAAACACTACAGGCCATAGCGTATCACCACATAAAAAGTTTTGATGGCCAACCAATATAACATCATTTTCTACCCGACACAGTTGTGCGGCCTTTGAATGGCGCGCCTGAGGGACATGTATGCAGCTCAGTTCTCAAGTCCAGGTAGCCATCTCTTCAGCAAACCACTTCATATAAACGCTGATTTACAGGCTACATTTTGATGGGGTTTTTAAGATACTCGGAGGACTGTGAACCAAATCATCTCGTTGGACTTGCCGAGAGGAGCAGTCTCGTTTCCGACAACTCCAATGTCGTCCGCGCGCTGAAACCCAGCTCTTGGGATCTCTTTCCTGCCAATCCTAAATAAAGGGCAACGCATTGGCACAGGATTTAACAAACATTAGCTTCTAATCAGCCTCGAAGATAAGCTGCGAATTGGCCGTACCGTATCAGTGATGTCTGGAATGCGGTTATTGCTAGTTGAAAATTGCCGCATACAGTAACAGAAACATATGTTCGCTTCTAAGGCAGCGAGCGATCGGTTATTCCAATGAAAATATGGCTAGACTGATGCTCAAATGTTTGTCCTCGACCGAAACTCTTAATCGAGCCATAGACTTGCATCTCGCCTACCAGGCGCTACGTGCAAAACTCTAATTGACTCAGTCAATAAGACAGGCGAGTGACACCACGCAGGACCAATAGCCGACGCCTGAGCAACCGAAGCGAGCGGCTGGCGGGTTCTCACGTCACTAGTGCAGGACACTGTTCTCACAATGCCGAAAGCAACTCGGACAAGTAACAACTGCTAATGAGGCGGTGGTCAACACGCACAATGACATGGCCGCAAATACGACGGTCGCAGGGGGTGACAAGGACCAAACAACCCCGCCAATGGAGAGGCCAAAACAGGCGGATCAAAATTCGTTTGTGAAGCACGCAGCACGGCTGAGGAAATGAAGACCGGCGAGAATAACCACCCCACTACTCTGAGGATAGGAATGCGAAAGTTTCTGAAAGGTCAATACAAATATGATCTTAGTACATGCAATCTTGTCTTCCTCCCCGCCGGGGGATGATGAGCGCCATAGTATATCTGGGCTCCGAAATTTCAACTGATAAAAAGTGTAAGAGACACAAACAGTTTAATAGAAGCTAGACACAGTAATCTCATCTCTAAGGGGTGTTAGCTAATTTATCCGCTGTTTCAAACCCTCACGCTAACTTATTGTCACATGATAATGAATATTTATTGCTCACCGCATATTTAACTAGACCCTGCCAAAAAGGACCTTCAGCTTTGCCAAATATTTATTCTTCCGACGCCTGGTAAACTTCTTGCAGATCGATGTTCCTATTGATCGAGTCATTTGTCGAACTTCACGCTTCCTGCAACATGCACTTAATCCGGTCATCTAAAGAGCACAGGATTCTCTCACCGTCGACAATGAATTTCGGCTAGTGCGAGGACTACTGACTGACCAACAAGGAAAGTGTCTTTCCGCCTTTCCCCCAACTCACATTACTATAGTTTCTTGTTACCTGTTAATCAGTTCTCCCTTCATAGTTGGGGTGGCCACAATTTCATGCTGGCCGGTAATGGATATCGGATTTGTGATTGGTAGTTATGTGGTCCTTGGGATGCACAAGCTGCCAACGAATTGTCGCTTTCGGTCCGTGATGGACTCCAATCCGAAATTCGCTCATCAGTCTAGCCAGTTCCATCAGCCGTCGTTTTGAAACTAAACCCATTTTCTGAAAAAGTGGGGTCAATAATGTCTTGGAGTGTTCCTGATTGACTCTTTGTGCTTATAATAAAGTTAACCTCCATATAATACAGTCGCTAGTTAGGATTAGTTGAAAGGAAGCTGTGGCTTAAAACTATTAAATTACGGCTTTGTATGCAGAAAGGAGTGCTGGCAAAGACAACGGAAATCGGGTGGCCCTTTCGTTCTTATCGACCCTCGTCAGCCGGCCGTGCCCATAAATTAGGATTTTAACTCGAATTCCTTAGTAACTGAACATTAGGTTCTACGCCCTGCTGTTGAGTTTTGGTAGATTTCCATATAGTGATCAGGGTGTTGACACGAGACTGCCACTTGTGTGTTCACAAATACCACCGGCTGATGGAGTACACTTGACCAACGTTTCATTAGAACTTTACGGTACACGGTTTGTGATGCCTGAAAGCGCCGATCCGCAGCAGTTTACATTGTCATCACAAGCAGCGTAATGTCCAACTGCTTAAGACACTCAGCAGAGTAAGTGCGCTCAACCAGCCGCACTTTGATGGGATCATAGTCCGAAACCTGCTACATCGTCTCGCACAGTAACAACTGTTTGTTTTATCCCATGAGAGAATGTTCTGCACATGAGATTCCCAGCCGGAAGATCATATTAAAACATTCTAATCGACATTGAAAAGGTGTGAGGCAGACGAGGAGGTCATAAAAATGTCATGCGGGCACATGGATCGACTTTTCTCCTCCAGAACGAGCATCAGAAGTCGATTTCCCAAGCAAATAGGTAAGAATGCTTGAGGAAATAGCAGATGAAGGATATCGTCCACATACTTATCGACAAAGAACGCTTAATATTGGATGAATCTTCAAAGTCTGTATGAAGAATAATGAGGGGGAGGGGAAGAATAATGATAAAAAGCGATCTTTGTAGCAATAATTTTATTGCTCTGACGTTTCTGATTCTTGTTCCAGCGATCGCATCTTCTTCTTGTGGACTGCTTCCTGGAATTCGTCTATTAAACTCTGTAGGCAAACTGTAAAGTCTATTGGTAGGCAGGCATTTTCGGATGTCCTCAGATATTAGTGAGGTAAACGGAATGATGACGATGCCCTTTGACATGACCTCGCTATTTACCTTTACCCATCTGGCGTGGCTATCGATACAAATGCTGACCTCACTCTTTTGTTTTTTTTCCTTACGAGACTATTAAAACAGCGCACAAACTAGCTAGCGATAAAGCGTCGGTCACCGACTCCATATTCCAGCCGTAGTTTTCAAATATGTCAGTCCATAGCTTATTTGAGAGCATACTCTGCTGGTACAAAAAATCTGGCTACAAGGACACATCACTCAGTACTTCAGGCATTTAACCATAGTCTACATAGACAGATGTAAGGTGCTTGCAAGCAGTGTAAAGAAAGGCATCGTTGCGTGGTCACCTTAAAGACCACCGTCGAGGACTCTCAGGTCAGGGAGGATCTCGCTCAGGTTCGCCAGACCTTGCGCATTATCGTAAAGACTAGAGCAGCCAACTTTGAGGTTAATAGATTGAAAAACTCCATCACCACGCCACACCCTACCTGCGCGCACACGGCAGTTCGACCATTGCCGATGCAAGCGAACTTACAAAGAGGCAAAATGATGCCAATTGTCAAGTTGCGGTTCAGTCGCCTAGACCCGACCACACATTCAAATTTGATGAGGCCGAAATTCTCGCAAGGTGTG